CCCCCACCCCCGATCTGGTTTAAACTGGTTTGGGACGGCCCAGGAGTCATTCTAGAAGCACAGTTTTTATTTTTATCTGCAGATTTGGGTGCACAGATCAGGAATTTTTGACAGTTGAAGCTATAGACTTTTAATGGTACTTTTAAAAATGGTCGTAACCAGTGTCTTGAGTCGTTCCTCCTACAGTGATTGCATTAGGGTTTTAGTTATGTTTAGGGCTATAAAGAGTTACCAGAGAACTTGTACTTGAAGCCAGCCTCCACCCCAAAACTTTGCGAATGGAGGCAGCTCGGATTTCTTGAAGCTCCTGGCTTTCCCATAGCTTGCAACTGAGGAAGATGCTGGTTATTACCGGGCTGGCAGCATGAGGTGTGGCTCATTTGCCATGTAGTGTCCGTCCGTCCATGTGTCCCCCCACCCCACCCCCGGTCTCTTTAAGGATGATGCGTTTGTACTGCCCCCTCCGAATCCAGCGCATCTCTCCCAGTGCTTGCTTCCTTCAAGAAGGAGCCGTGGTGGGCTGCTAACCTCCAAGTCAGTGGTTCAAGCCCATCAGCCCCTCATAGGGAGAAAGACAAGGCTGCTTGTCTGTTCCTGTAGAGATTGACAGCCTTGGAAACCCTGCATAGGATTGCTGTGAGCCACAGTCAACTCAGTGCCAGGGTTTTGGGGCTTGCGGTTCACTCAGCTAAGAGGAGACCTTGGAGACGCTCTAGCTAGAGGAGATCACATTGTAACAGCAGCTGGCAAGGTTAGCTGTTGAGGGGGAAGTGAGTGCGTGCTAAGGGAGGAACAAGGGAGGAATGGGGCTGAAAAGCAGCACCAGGGGGAGAGTGTTCCCGGGGTCGCTGACCTGTGTCTGTCGCAGCTGTGCATGAGGAGTTTGTTGGGCTTGGCATGTGTAAGCGGGAGGAGGAGCCCTTCGAGGGTGCACACGGTTGGAGGTTCGTGCTCACCCAGAGCGGCCTCAGAAGACAAGCCTGTCAGGACGCCCCCAAAGTCAACCATTAGAACCCCCCTCTGGCACACCGTGCTCCTGTGATGCACATGAGCCACCAGGAGCCCAGACCTGTTCCACGCAAGGCTCTGGCCTGGCCAGGACACTTTTCTTAGTGTTGGGAGCGCAGTTTTATGAATTACCTGGCCAGGGATAAAGAAGTCCTGGTGGCTTAGTGGTTAAGAGTTTGGCTGCAATTTGAAAGGTCAGTTCAAAACCACCAGCTGCTCCAAGTTCTGTAAAGAGTTAGAGCCTTGGAAAGTCACAGGGGCAGTTCTAGCCTGTCTTACAGGGTCACCATGAGTTGGAATCGACCCGGTGGCAGTCAATTTGGTGGCATTGTGTGTTTGGCCAGGAATAAAGTTGAAGTCTTAGGATGTGGACTAAGGCAGGAAGCCGGACCATGTGGGACTCTTAAGAGCCCCACCATGTAAATAGACTGGTCCTGATGTATTGGAGCTGGGCAGAGGGCCTACCAGTTCTCCTAATAGTCTTTTTAGTTAAGAACTTTGGGTTTCTTAAATCAGATCCATAAAACTAAACAGGCCTTCTCTCTGCCCCTTAACTTGTTACATGGTCATGGCCTAAGGTCCTGAGTCTTTATTTCTGCATCTCCAAAGTGGGTTAAGAATCATGCCTACCTCATAGGCATTAGAAGGTCTAAATGAGATGATTCCGTACAAACCACTTAGTTCAGTGTCTGGCACACAGTACAGGGTAAGAAGTGTGTGCTATTCTTATTTTCAGGTCTTTACATGGCTGGTCTTATCATGATTTCCAGAATTAAATACATACTTATTTGCTTTCACTGCTAAGGAGTCAGATTTGACCCTCTTTGACTGCATAGGACAGAGTAGAACAGCTCCCTATTGTTTCTGAGACTGTAAATCTTTGTGAGCGTACACAACCTTATCTTTCTCCCAAGGAGCACTGGTGAGTTTTGATGGCTGACCTTGCAGTTAGCAGCGCAAGTTTTAACCCAGTGCCAGGGCGCCTTCACACATAAACTCGGCTGCCGTCGAGTCGGTTCTGACAGAGCGACCCTATAGGACTTACTGCCCTGGTGGGTTTCTGAAGCTGTAAATCTGTAGAGGACCAGAAAGCATCATCTTTCTACCTGAGAGCAGCTGGTGAGTTTGAACCACTGACCTGTGGTTAGTAGTCCAACTCAAAACCCACGGTGCCTCTAGGGTTGCTCCTTCACATAGGCACCCAAAAAAACCAAGCCCCAAATCCACTGCTCTTCTGATTCCTACCCTGAAGAAAATGCATTTCTGCGATACTCAGCATAAAGGTTGGAGGTAGTTGAAGACCTTTGGCAAGCCTTCAGAATGACCAACTTTATGAGATGGCAGCCTCCACATTCCGGTGGCGGTGGTAGTGGTGGTGGTGGTTAGGTGCCATCTGGTGGGTTTAGACTCACAGGCACCCTGTGCACACAGCAGGAACTGCACCCTCCCCACAGCTGCCCCTCGGTTGGAGCCCTCTTGTGGGAGCCACTGTGGCAGTCCTCCTTGAGGACCTTCCTCTCTTTATTGTCCCTCTGTCAAGCGTGATGTCCTTCTCCAGACAGGTACTAATACTATACCAGGGACTGGCACAGGTACTAATACTGTTTACAGATAATGGTTTTTAATAATGTGCCATAAAAAATCAGTGTCACTTTTTCTCGTAAGGCTTTTTTTTACGGCAAGATGAATTGCATAGGAAAGATAGTTATCAGATTCTTCCACCTGCTAAAACATTGCCTTTAGATCAAAAGGTTTTCTATACCAGAAGTTATCCCCACCTAGTATTTTGCAGTGCAATTTGTGCCCTTCCACTTAGTTGCTGTGTGGCTTGGGGCATATACCTTACTTACGGTAAGTTTCAGTTCCCACACCTACCTTACTTGGTCGAGTTGGTGTGTGAACTTGAAGTCATAGTGTGTATAAAGTGTCTAGCAGAGCTTATGTGATGAACTTCAACACCTTGGGGCTTATTTTGAAGGCGATTGGTAGAGCACATTGATAACATGTGGGTCTCATGGCAGTGAGCATCTGATCACTGTCCCTCTCACTCTGTGCAGAGGAGTAGTAGGGACGGAGGTCAAAAACGAACCCATCTGCCTTCACACAACTGATTTGACATCACAAGCTCATTGGAGAAAATAGTGTGAAGGAAAACACTTGGGTGATTCTGAGAAACAAACCTCATTGCCAATGTGCTCTTTAGGAAACTTTGCTTTTGATGGTATACAGAGCGTTTGTATGGAAGCTGTCTTGAGTTCAAATCCTGTTTCAGTCTCTATACTAGTGAGGTGACAGTGGCCGAGTTAATTAATGTTAATTAGTTAAGATGCAAGAGCTGTCTCAGATCATTGAGAACATAAGAGTGCAGTAATAATTGTCCAAGTCCCCATGTCCCCCCCCCCCATTGGTGTAGGTTCTCTAATAACATAAAACAGAGTTGCTGAGATGGGCTTTTTGCATAACTACTTGCCTGTGCTCTTGCCAGGATGAATGAACTGAACCTGAGTCCTGTGGGGATGGAACAGCTGACTTCATCCTCTGTGAGCAATGCCTTGCCAGTCTCAGGAAGTCACCTGGGCTTGACTGCTTCGCCGACTCACAATGCCATCCCTGCCCCAGGTAAGTGGTACGGGTGAGCCACTGCCTTCTCAGACTTAATGCTGGTTCATTTCCACATAGAGGCTATGTGCCTGAAGGGTGGCAGGGAGAAGGCTCGCATGACCGTCCCACGCCTGGTAGCCCAGGTGAAAGAACACATTGTTGGAGCCATCTACAGTTGAATGGACAGGCCTTTCTTTCTTTTTAAAAATAATTTATTGGGGGCTCTTACAGATATTATAACAATCTGTAAATCAGTTATATCAGGCAAACTTGTACATATGTTGTCATTTCCAAAACAATATCTTTCTGCTTGAGCCTTTATTATCAGCTCTTTTTTCCCTCTCCTGCCCCTACCCTTGTGAACCCTTGATGAATTATAT